CCAAATTTCCTAATCCGAAAAGGTCAGCACCAGTGCTGGGTTTTGCGCCGCAGGCGAAAATTTTGAAAAATTTTGAAAAAAAGAAACTAAAATTAATCAATTTAAAAAATTTATTCAGCTTTATTTAATAAAAACATGCTTATTATAATTTCTTTTCCAAATAAAAACAATTATTTAATTATATGTTGTGATATTTTTCGAACCTATAACTGGATAAAACTCGGAACCTAACTCACTATCCATTCAACCACAACTACATTACAAAGGAAAGGACAGAAAATCTTTTTTACCCGTCTCAATTTTCTCTTCCTTTCTTTTCACGCCTACCATCTTTGCTTACCTCTTTTTCTCTAACCCATCTTTAGGGGTGTATAGCCGGAGCCGTGGGGAATTGAAAAACCTTGGCTCCGGCTCCGGGCTCCGGGGTTTCAAATTCTTGGCTCCGGCTCCAGCTCCGCAGGAGCCGGCTCCGGAGCCGGGCTCCGGAGCTAGCTCCCGGAGCCATACCCAGCACTGGTCAGCACATCAGAAATCATTTCTGATATCGGATCCAGGGATTTGCAATGCCCAAATCTAATTCATCATTTATGGTCCAGACCTAATTTCTCAGCTACCTAACCCCTATTGTACTTCCTCAACTTCCTTCAGTTCCTGGATACCATTTTTTATCTCCAAGGTGTACACTAAAGTGAGTGCGATTTTAGTTATTATTTTATTGTGTCGCGGTGCAAAAGTCGCCCGGCGCTAAAGTCGCGGCGCATAATTTCCCGGCGCAAAAGTCATGAGTAGAGCCTGAAAAGTAGAACTCATAGTCGAACTCGGGGTTTTCAAACTCGGCATTACTCGAACTCGGTTCTCCCCAATTACTCGTTACTCGACTTACTCTAATCACAACTTAAGTGTCTAATGTAAAGTCTCAGCATAATAAGTTTATATAACTTTTATTATATTTAAATTTATTTTCTTTATTTATTTCACAAGAATTGAAAAACAGCCCTGCTTCATATGACTTGAAGCATCTTATGATTGCACTTTTGTTTACCTGAGTTCGCGGGCATTTTTGAAAAGAAACGCTCTCGTTGGGAATTAAATATTAGAGAAGTGCTATGACTATAGAAAAATACATAGGGCCTTTATATGAATGTCGGCAGTAAGGGCTATTGACAAATTTTAAAATTTAGAGGCCCTCCCTTCCCTTCCTTTAAGAGAGTTAAATTATAATCCATAAACGCGCGCAACCTTGTATTTCTTAATTGAAAGGGCATCTCGACTTCATTTACAGCCCTCTTTTTAATTTTATTTTAACTACCTAACCGCGAATAATAAAAATGAATAGATAAATGGAAAGTTTATTTTATATTTTCACTTTAATATTTTGGCAAGTGTCTTTTAAGTGTCCTTTTGGTGTTGCGACAATTGAGGATACGCACTTGAGGATATGACAAATGAGGACGACAATTGAGGATCTGACATATGAGGACGACGTATGAGGATATGCCAAATGAGGACGACAATTGAGGATTAAAATAATAATAAAAAACGGTGATCCTTGACCTTTTGAAATTCAAAAATGTTCGCCTGCGGCGCTGGAAAGAGAAGAATTCTTCATTATTGATCATCCAAGTGGGGGTCTTCCGAGTTTTATAGATCTTTCAAGTCTTTTTTATTTTTCATTTTTATCCTTATTTGTCAAATCCTCATATGTCGTCCTCATTTGTCGTCCTCATATGTCAGATCCTCAATTGTCGTCCTCAAATGTCGTCCTCATTTGTCATTGTCGTACCGCCGTCCTTTTAAGTGTCCTTTTAAGTGTCAAGCAAGTGTCAGGCTTCTCTTTTACAATCACCAATTTTCTAAAGTTAAAATTCAGTCGATTTTTGATAACTTTACTCTATTATCATTAAGCTTTAATCAGCACGACTATTTAGACTTGTATTTAACTGAAAAAATTTTTAAAATAAAAAAATTTCAGAATATTTTCTCGGATTCTTGCGTCTTACATTCACATTTTGTAGTAATTTGCTTAAACACGTTATCTTATGATTATTTGTTTTTTTTTTCAATTTCAAAATATTTTACAATATTTTGACGGCAGTTTTTAAAGTTTTATTTAATTCTTGTTTTCATAAGTTTATTGTCATAGTTAAGATTATGAAATCCCCATTTTTAGCGCCTCATAAAAGGCGAGAGAAAACAGGCCAAATTAATTCTCTAATAAAAGTTTTGGGCCCGATCAAAAGTTGGCCTATCCTCTCTCACTTTTATTTATTAATATGACATCCGCACTTTTAGGGTTACCACTCTTGGAGCCAACGCCGACTAGTTCTGGTTTATTGAATTAGGATATATAATATTTATATTCATTTTCTATAAAATTAAAATACCGTATTTCTGCGATAGTGCGACTGTCTCTAATAGACCGACGAGTCTATACCGACCCAAAGCAGAGCTGTTTCGAAATTTCGAAGGATTTTCGAAGTTTTTTTTTGTTTCGAAACATCTCTACCAAGAGTACTTTCTAAGGCAAATTTTACCCGCTGTACTTATTTTTGATTCGCTGAGCTCTTTCGAAAGATATAGCTAGTTGTATTTTACTGTATTCCCACCGAGATCGAAAATCCTTGTATATACCTTTCGATTCCTCTCGCCGAGCTTTGAAAATCTAAATCGAAATTTCGAAACAGCTCTGCTTTGGCTCGGTATAGACTCGCGGAAATCGACGCTTTTTTATTTACCCATTTTCTTTAAAGGACATTATTGCGACAGCATGGGGAGTACAAAATAAATATTATAAAAGCCGGCATTTATTTAAATATCCTCATTCATTTAATTTAATCTATAATATTCATACCTAATTCATTAAAAAAATTTAAATAATATCTTCATTAAAAGAATCAGAAACACAAACGTTTCTATTGAAAATCTTCGCGGTAGTAAAGAAATGCGAGGCAAAACAAATTTGTCGGTATTTTTTGTTTTGATTTTCGTTTCAAAGTTGATTGTCGGCACTGTGATTGATACAGCGCGCATTAAACGGTTAAAACAAATTGCTGAGATAGATAATTCGACTGGAATGCCTCGAGGTGGTTCATACTCGTATGATGCTATTAAATTTGAGGAATATAAATATCTTGAAGGAAATGCAGAGTATAAAAACCTTTTCGAGACATTTAATAAAGCTTTTGAAAGACTTGTAAATAAAGTTGCCGAATTTGCTGAAATAAATTTAAAAAATATTGACATATCTCTTGATGAAACAGAGGATATTGCAAATGAATTAAAAAAATATGATGAAATTGTCGAAAAGGAGAGAAATATTGACGAGATGATAGAAGAAAAGGTAGTGTTTAGAACTTGCTAATAGATGTGCAAAAAAATTTTGTAATTCGTAAATGTCCTATTGAATTTTGGAGAGACCATCCAACCCGTGATATATACCTATATACAGTATTTATTCTAATTGAACTGCTTCCATTGGAAAATTCAATTTCGTTCCCCACTTCTTTTTCCTTTCTAAAGTGTTAAAACAGGTTAGTCAGTCTTAGTTTATAGAACTCGTAAAGCTGTGTCGAATGACACCAAAATCAAAAAATCAGACATCAGACAAGATTTGACCCAGATATAAACCCCTGAAAATCGAAAAATATAGAGCGATTTTTTGCAATAAAATTTTTTATCCAAATGATAGCTCTTTCGAAAGTGCTCGTCGAGCTGAGTCGAATGGCGCCAAAATCAACGTGATTAGACATGGTTTGACAAAGTTATGACATTATGTAGACCTAACGGAATCGACGACTTATGGCATAGCTTTGTCAAATCTTATTCAAACACGTTGATTTTGGAGTTATTCATCACAACTCGACGAGTTCTATAGCCTTAGACTGACTGACCATTTTTAATACTTTGAGGAAGAAAAAAGGAGGGGGGAACGAATTTGAATTTTATCCTTCCATTTGTTTTCAATGCCCCAGAAGGAGACATTCAAATGGAGGGCCATTTATTTATAATAAATGATAGTATAAATTTCAAGGAATCTAATAGTTCGTCGCATAGAGAAAATTACAAGGAGTTACTAAATATAATTATAAATTGCAAGACTTTCATGATAAATTTGCATTCAAAAGGCTCAGAAGGCAATTTGATTGATATTTACTCTTTTATGGAAAAAGCATCCTCTTTAAACTACAAGGAATCTTTGTTTAATTTTACGGCATTAAATGTGTTGAAGTTTATTTTTAATTTATCAAAAATACAAAGCAAGGAAATGGATAAAGCCATTATTGAAGTAATTTACAATCAGCATTTGGAAAATAAGAAATTGAGAAAAGAATATAAAAATGCAATTGTGGCGAGTGATGGTTCAGTTGGTTTATATGCTACATGGAAACTTTTTATTGGTAATATTAGATAGTTTTATATATTTAAATTTTGACCAATTCTTGGCAAAATTTTACAAAAAAATGACGAAAATGGGCCAAAATATATGAAATTTGCCAAAATATGCACCGATATGGAAATATGCACGAGAGGGCCAAAATATGCAAAAATATGAATTAATAACCCTGTCCTAAAGTGCTCAAACCAATGTATAAATACAATTTCGAGTTTCTCTCATCCAAATCGGATTTGAATCCGATTGGATACTTCTTTTAGTATTTTTGAGGTAAAGGTCTGTTCTTATAACCCAAAAGTTTGGATTCGTTCCGGTCTCATACGTCGGGAATGAGAGAATCTCAATGAGGAAGTGCGAACTTTTGCGAAAATTTTTACAGCGACTTCTAATCTTTATCTATGATAGGGATAAAAACTTCAAGAATTCTTGATTATATAGTTCCTTAGTTATTTCCTTATCGTAAAAATTTTATTTGATCTCAATATCTTTAATTTAAATAAAGTTATCCCAAAAAAGTATATATAGTTAATTTTAAGAAGGAATAAATGTGTCTGTTTTGAGTAGTCATAATGGATTAGAGGATATAATTTATGTTGACAATAGATGGATGTCTAAATTACGTTTCATTTTGGGCACTGAATTTGACAAAATAATTCCCGATGAAGAAAAATCAAAGATAAAATTAGTTGATAATGTAATTGTCTTTACGATCAAGAATCTTAAAAATGCACTAAATGAACGTTTAAATGTTTTGTCAAAATATGTACAGGCAAAAGAAAAAATTAAAAATGGAAATAAAAAATCGTTTTTGAATTTTCTCTTTGATTCAAAAGTTTTGGACATTAATATGGGCCATGAAAAGCAAAGTGCAATTTTAGATAAAGTTGATAAAGATAAACATGATGAAATTCTGTTTGATTTATTTTTCTGTGATATTACTAAACATATTGAATATAATGCTGCAAACGATATGGTGTTAAACAAAAAACAAGAGAATAAAATTTTCGAGGGAAATCAAATTATGATAATTAGTATATACTCGATTGGCAGCAAATTATTAAAAAATTTAAAAGTCTTTACTAATGAATCGTTTTTCCTTTCTGAAAAAATTAAAAATCGTTATCGTCATATTATTTGGTTGATTCTTCATGGAATGGAAGAAGTAAAATATAATTCTCAACGTCCACTGACTAGAACTGGCAAAGTTTATAAATCATTCGCAACCGGACGCATTTGGTATAAGGATCATCCCGGGAAAGACGAAAATATTTCTGTTCAGATATTTGAGACAAAGACAACAATAACGATTAAAGCAGAAACACCTATGGCAATTGTTGAATTAATTGAAGAAGTTAAAAATGAGAGGGAAGAATTGAGAGAGATGAACGATGAGGAATTTAAAAAGAAAAGGGAGTACTCATTGGTTGCTGAAGAAGAACACAAACATGATCAAAAAAAGAAAGAAATATTAGCCGAGATAGAAAACGAACAAAATAAAATATTTGAAGAAAGTAGAAACGAAAGTGGTAAGTTGGTGAAAGATGTATTAAAAGAATTAAATGAGGAATCTGATAAATTATTGGAAGAAATATGGGAAATTGAAGACACTATTAGAAACCTAGAGATACCTGAAGGAAAAATACAAGAATTAAGAGTATTGAAGGAAAAAAGAGATGAGATATTAAGAAAAATAAGAGAAATTAAACTCGAATACTACTATAAAGAACTTGATAAAAAATCAGCCAATATCACCAACCAACTGAAGAATTTATTAGAGCAAAAGTTACGAAGGCTAAAAGTTGAAAATGATAATCTTTTAAAGGAGGATATAGAGGTTGAGCGTAAAAATTTTTTGGAAAAATATGATGAATTTATTGTTGAATTAAAAGAAAGATGGTTTAGAGCTGTTTTTTATCGAGTATTCAATGAAGTATACAAAACTGAAGACAAAAATACTGTAAAAATTAAATTAAGTAAGGAAAAAGAAGTGGAAAAAGAAAAAGGAGAATCAAGTACAAGCATGAATGTTGAAACACTTCAAAATAAACAAGACAAACATATTCTCTATTTTGACAAAAACAGTTTAATTGGAAAAACACTTTTGTTAAATATTTATGGAAAAGAAAATGCAATAAAATTGGTTAAAGGAAAAAAAGATTCACCAATACTTGTAAATATTAACGATGGAAATAGTAAGTTTTTAAAGAAAATAGAAAGTAATAACTGTAGACTTTGGAACAATTCCGTCATATCTGTTGTGTAGTGGTATCGCTATAGTATAAAAGCCAGTGAAAGCGTCAGTCTAGTTGAATCATACTAGCGCGGCTAGTCACTGATTTCCTTCGTATGTTCCAACCCTTTCACATTAGCCTACAGTGTATATTTCTACACCGGATAAATTGTTATTCTTGTGCACGACAACTTCAACTAAATCTCGGACACCTCCGGTTGTAACACAGTCACGAAACAAGATATTTACTGTATTTTCTTAGATAAATTATATAATTTTTAAAGGTTTGCTTGATGTCGATAATGCAGTTTCTGCTATTAAAGAATACAACAACAGCAGCGAACAAATGGATTTAACAAAAATGTTAAAGGAAGCGTCGAAAAACAAAGGTTCGGCTTAAACAATGTATAAATAGAAAGTATAAAAATAAAAAAAAATTTTTTTTAAATAAAAAAAATTAAAAAAAGGATAAAAAACACAATGTATTTAGCCCAACTAAACGTTTATTTTTTAAATTTTATTTTTTAAAACAAATGTAAAAGAGGTTTTCTAGTTTAAAATCCTGAGGTATCTTGGTCGGATATTTAAAATTTTGAACTTTTAATGTCCCCTATAAATACTTGTATCAAATGGTCATTATTAGGGTGCGGTAGAATATGCACGAAAAATCCAAAAGCCAATGTATATGCAACGAAAAAGCCAAAAATATGCACCGAAATATGCAAAATTTTTCAAAACATCCACTGATATGCACTAAAATTGGCTAAATTTACTCAAAAAATGTGAATTCAAGCAATAGAATGTTTGATAATTAATTTTGGCCCTCAGAATTAGAAATTTAATCATTTTTAGCTATTATTTTGTTTTTAAAAATATTTGAGTAAATTTTTCCGAATAATTTTTTGACAAAAAGCTTGACAAAATTTTTCGATGAAAATTTTTGAAAAAATTTATATTTTGCCAAAAATACTTTTTAAAATGCAAATTTCTCAAAAATTGCAAAAATATGCAAAATTTCCCAAAATATGCACAAATATGCAAATATTCACTAAAGTACCGAAATATGCAAAAATGTGCTATAGCAACCGCGTCCCTAGTGTTCATACCGACGTAAAAACGCCATTTTTGTGCGTTTCAGCTCATAGCATATCTGCATACAAAATATGCATTTGTAGTTTTGCCGCACCCTAGTCATTATGTTATCAGATATGTCAAACTAGGGTTGCGCCCCGAGCCTTCGGGGTTGAAAAAGTCGGGGGTCGGGGTTTTCGGGGTTGACAAAGTCGGGGTCGGGGTCGGGGTTGCTCAAATTGTTCGGGGTCGGGGTCGGGGCTGAAAATAATGTCGGGGTTCGGGGTCGGGGGTCGGGGTTGAAGTGAAAATTCACAAAATCCAGCATTTTTATCAAACATTACTGTTCATTTCTTCCTCTTTCAGCGCCGCAGGCGAAAACTTTGAGAATTATTGAGGTCGAGAAGCCAGATTTCTTACATTTTTAGCGCCGGAGGCGAAAATTTTGAGAATTTTGAAGGTTAAGAAGCCAGATTTCTTCCATGTTTTGCGCCGCAGGCGAAAAAAAAAGATCTAAAATCAATGGACCAGATTTTTTCCATTTTTCCCTAATTCTAGGATCCTAACCGAAGATTTCGGATATCCGGATCCGGTATCCGAACCGAAAATTTCCGGAAATCAGGCCTTTTATATATCAGGATTGGGTTTTAAATTCCGAACAGGACAGAATCCTGCAGAATTAATCCTGAAAATCCTGCCAATCCTGTCATTTTTTCCAGGATCCTGTCCAGGATTTCGGGATTTTCAAAAATCTCAAAATTTACGCTGCGGCGCTGGAAATCAAAATTTTTGCTAATACATATGTCCCAACTGAATCTTCGCTGAAAAAAAGTTGTTCCCGTAATTGGAACGTCATCCCCAATGTTGTATCAACTTCCCCCATCACTGAGTCAACATCCCCCGTTGTTGGGTCAAAAGTTTGGTATTCCAAGTAGTGTAAGTCGAGTAGAAAGTAATAGGGCAGGCAGAATTTCGGCAGGCAGGATTTCGGCAGGAAAAAAACAGGATTTCGGACAGGATCCTGAAAAATTCTGTGCGGGATACTGTCCTGTGCCGATCTCTAGTCTTTTCCTTTCTTTTGTTTTATCAAAATTACAGCAAAATGCCAACAAAAAAAATATATAAAAGTTAATTTATGCAGTTTGAGTCGGGGTCATAAAAATTTTTCGGGGTTCGGGGTCGTCGGGGTCGAACTTTCGGGGGTCGGGGTTTTCGGGGTTGGCCATGTCGGGGTCGGGGTCGGGGTTTTAGGTCAAAAAGTGTCGGGGTTCGGGGTCGGGGTCGGGGTTAGTCGGGGTCGGGGCGCAACCCTATGTCAAACCTTTGTATTTATATTAAGCCTTGAGCTACCCTAACGACAAACAATTCAATTATTATTTTTCTTCATTTTATTCAACATTTTTTAAATTCGTATTTTTAGATTTGTATAAAGATTTTAGTTGTACATCAATTTAGTTTTCCTTTTGTTTCCTTTTGTTTTTGAGAGTTGTGTGATTAAGTTTATTGTTAGTTTGGCTGTTGATGCCAAATCTGCTAGAGAATGTGGTGTGGCTGTGGAAGTTGTTAGAGGACCAGAGCCGGAGTTTATTGTAAATTTCTATTTTTTAAGTAACTTGCATAATATTAATTAATACAATTAGCGTTATTTAAAAAATATTACAACACATAAAGTTATTGTACATAATTCTTAGCTTTTGTAGTATATTTTTGCAAGTCAAGCCTTCAATGCTCGACTAAATAAGGATTAATGATTTAATTTCTTTACGCTTGCTATACTGTACAAAAGTTTAAAATGCTCATATTTGTCTTATTTTTATAAGTCGAGCTGTATTGTTCCCGCAATGTTGGGGAGTGGAAAATTGGATAGTGGACAATTGAGGAGTAAAACGAAATTAAAATTACATTTTTAAGCTAAATATTGTTTGGCGAAAATTGTTTCGAGAGTTTTGCTTAATATTAATTTTTTATTTAAATTTTATAATTAATTAGAAATACATATTACTTATCGTAATAATTTCGCCATGATTCCGATTATATTTTTGTAAGCCTGACAGTGATGTCTTGGCTAAGGTTATACATACACCTAAGTTTCCAATTTCTTGATTTGATTAAACTTGATGTTATAACTTTATCTCCCGGACAATTTATAGTAACTGAAACCAATATAGTTTCCGATAATGTTGTTTAATATATTTTCCTGAAAATTTATAAAGCATCAGGAACTAAAATTTTGTTTTTCTATTCCGAACTTTTGTTACAATATTTGTCTAATTAAAGGTACTTTTTTACTTAGTAGTAATTTTTTTATTTTAATTTTGTTATAAAATAAATAAATTATCTTTGATTACGATATTAATTAAAGCATCGAGGGTATATTTTTGTAAGCCAGCATTTTGTTTAGGCTAGAGATTTATTGATAAAAGCTAATGTTTACTGACATTAGCATTTGTCGGAATTCAAATTTTCGACTTCCGAAAATTTAGGCCGATTTCCGATTTACGACAGTTCGAAGTTTCGGCATCTTCATCATTTCCGCTCGACTTCTGGTATATACTCAATTCCTATATTAGAGCCACATAAGGCTCTATTTTTCAATTATCATCCACAGTGGGGCTCTATTTCAGTGTGGGGCTCTAATAGAGGGTGGGGCTTTAATACAGGAAATACTGTAATTACGTAGTTATTTTATCATTTTACCTCTTTCTTTTAAATTAAAAGAAAAATTAAATTAAAAGAAAGAGGTTAACTTAAAAGAAAGGGGTAAAATGATAAAATAACTACGTAATTACCGTATTTCCGTATTAGACCGTATTTCCTGTATTACCTCATTTTTATTAAAAAATACAAGAAAATTGGGGTTTTTGAGTCAGTATCGTTTCTCGCCGAGAAATGGACCGAGAATATCGGTATCGGGTTCGAGACCAAGAATGAAAAAACCGAGACCGATATTGGAAAAAGCCGAGAATCTCGGTATCGGTCTCGTCTTGTCCAACTCTACTTTTAACTCTTGATTTACATAAATATTTATAAAAATATTTTTATTATTTTTGTGCTTTGGTTAGTTCAATAAGAACACAGATCATAAGAAAAGTTGCAGAAAATTCTCAAAAAATATTTTAAAGAGAGGTAAACAAACATAAATAAACCACAAAATATCTATTTTTATTTGTTTTTTTATTTCAAAATTTTCTTTGAGTGTTTTTGAAACATTTGCAAATAAATATTGCAAAAATGACTTGTGGAGAGAAATTTATTTTTGCTTATTTTTTGTATTTGTGTTTTAAAATAGATCAAATCAAAAATCAGAAAATTTTCTGTTTTGATTTTAAGCGTGACTCGTACAAAATCTATAGACAGAAAACCATATTCACGATTTTCGTGAATCGGGAATAGAATTGGGAATTTCCTGCTATCGAGAATGGAGCCTTTTTTGATATTCCCTAATTTTTATAGGTCTCTCCCATTCCTGTCTCGAATAAAATTAAAAAAGGTGTTAAAAAGTCCTTTTTTCATAATCTATTCAAATGAAATTTGCATAATATTAATTAATTCAATTAATTTTAAATAAAATTAGCTTTAATAACAATATTTATCCAAACTGATAAACGCAACTGTATTATTTTTGTAAGTCGAGTTTTACAACTCGACTAATTATGAATTTAATAATTAAAATTGTGAATTTTATGCATTAAGAATGCAATATATTTTCTTTTCGTTTCTTTAACGTGAAATTTTAGTATAAAAAGCGATCTTCTGGACTCTCCCATCTAATCAATTCTTACAAGAAATATTAAAAATAAATTTTTGAGCAAGAGCTCGACCAAAAAATTTATATAAATATTTTTTCTAACCAAAGATCAAATATTTGTTTACATTTATTTATTCCATTATACACACCTAAATTCTGCTTTTCGTATAAATTTATATAATTTTTCATAAATATTTGTACAAAAATAAAAAAA